TCCTTCCTTCCTTCCTTCCTTCCTTCCTTCCTTCCTTCCTTCCTTCCACGGCTTCTTTTCCATGGCCTTCTTCCCTCATGTTACTTAGCAATAGCAACAGCTCTTAGACTTATATACCACTTTGCAGTGCTTTACAGCCCTCTCTAAGCGGTTTACAGAGTCAGCATTATTGCCCCCAACAATTTGGGTTCTCATTTTACCCAGTACTGCACTCTAACCACTGCACCACCGTGGCTCATAATATTTTATTCAAACGAGACCTTAAAACCTGCCTGTTTCTCCAGAGGTTGGCCTCCAGTGGTTCATGGATACCTTGTGGGATGGTTGGCCTGGTGATATTACTTCTGGCTTTATATCCTTTTATTTTTATTCTTTCATGCTGTGCTCAACACAGAGCCATGAGGGAGTTGGGTGGCCTATCAACTTGGTAAATAAAAATTAACTATTTAACTTAATTAAAAAAAACCCTAATATTTAATTTAATTGGAGACATAAATCTAAAAACACTTATCCATGTAGCGCTATAATTAATGATACAAAATTTAATACCCAAATGACTTTGAAGTAGGACATGCACATTGCACAAAGCTTTAATTTGACGAGCCAAGGGCAACCAATTCAAATGAATTCTTGGTTTGCTTTGTCTTTTAGTGCCTTGAATTTGCAGATTATAAATTTGACCTCAATGGATTCCATCACTGATGGATTATGCACCCTCCAGGGGGCTGGACTAGAAGATCTCCAAGATTCCTTTCAGCTCAATTCTGATTCTACATGTTGGTATCTACTCTTAGCAGTTATTAATAGAGCTAGCAAATCCAGCTTCCCCCATGGAAAAAAAAAAACAGGTTGCAAATTGCAATCATGTGACCACAGAATAGTACAAGCAGTCATAAAATCGGAGAGAGGCTGCCAATTCTCCGAATTCAATCACATGATTGTGGAGGGGCGGTGGTGCAAGGGTTTTAAGTGCAAGTACAGGCTATAGGTCATTTTTTCCAAGGCCCTCATAACTTTTAAGGGGTTGATTTATTATCCAAAGCACCTGCAGACAGGACAAGCTGCAATAGACGGAAACTTATTCAAGAGAGATCCAATCTGAAACTAAGGTGGAATTTCCTGACCGTAAGAACAATGAATCAGTGAAACAGCTTGCCTTCTGAAGTTGTGCGTTACTGGAGGCTTTCCAGGAAAAAAAGAAAAAAAGGACCACAATTGGTCTCCTGCCCTGAGTAGAGGCTAAATTAGAGCAGGGGTCTCCAACCTTGGCAATTCTGGGAGTTAAAGTCCACAATTCTTAAACATTGCCAAGGTTGGAGACTCCTGGATTAGAGGACCTTCAAAGTCCCTTCCAGTCATATTTATTCATTTGTATTCTGCCTTTATTTATTTACAAACAACTCAAGGGGGTAAACATATCTTTTTTCCTTTTATTTTCCTCATAATAACACAACCCTATGAGGTGGGTTGGGCTGAGAGAGAGAGAGAGAGAGAGACCAAAGTCCCCCAGCTGGCTTTTATTGGAAGGGACCTTGGAGGTCTTCTAGTCTAACCCCCTGCTTAAGAAGGAAACCCTATATCAGGGCTGTCAAACTCATGGCCTGCAGGCTGGATACATCATACGCTGGCCACGACCATGTCCGGGTTAGCGAAGGAGAAAAAAAGTGCCACGATTCGTCACATGACGCCACCATGACAATGTGAGTTTGAAACCCCTGCCTTATATCATTTCAAACAAATGGCTGCCCAGCAGGGGTGGGATTCTACCAGTTCGCACCTATTCGCTAGAACCGGTTGTTAACATTCTAAGCAATTCAGAGAACCGGTTGTTAGAAGAAACTACTGGCCTAATCCTGTAAGGAAGGCAGGAAGGAAACATTCTGGTGTTGCTTACAGATATTGCCTCTCCGTTAACCCTTATTATATTCTTGGCAGGACTAGACTTCCTCTCTCTGGAACTTCTCTGGAGCTTTTTTTCCCTCCTTTGCTGGTACTTTGCTTGTGTGGAGTGACCATTCAAAGTTACAATGGCACTGAAAAAAGTGACTTATGACCATTTTTCACACTTACGACTGTTGCAGCATCCCCACAGTCATGAGAGGCCAGGCGAGGAGATGCATGCCTTGATGTGAGTGATATTGAGTTGGCCACACCCAGCCAGTCACATGACCACCAAGCCACACCCACCAACTAAGCCACGCCCACAAAACCGGTTGTTAAAAAAATTGAATCCCACCCCTGCTGCCCAGTCTCTCCTTAAATACCTCCAGTGATGTAGCACCCACAGCTTCAGAAGGCAAACTCCACTAATTAATTGTTCTCACTGTCAGGAAATTCTTCCTTCCTTCTCTCCTTCTCTCCATTCCTTCTTGTCCTGCTTTTTCTCTGTGGCAGCCTTTCAAATATTGGAAAATGGCTTATCATGTTGCCCCTGGTCCTTCTTTTCATTAGGCTAGATGTACCCAACTCCTCCTCCAGCAAGTTTTGATTTCCAGTTCCCTGATCATCTTTGTTGCTCTTCTCTGCTCTCTTTCTAAAGTGCTAAGGTAGGACTAGAACTTCTCCCGGTGATTGGCCCATGGTTATCCGGCAGTATGGCTAAGGCAGGATTAGAACTCACAGTCTCCTGTCCCAAAGTTGCTTTTTTTTCAAGAGGCAACTGGACTTTCTGGTTTTTTTTTTTCTCTGAAGACGTTTTGCTTCTCATCCAAGAAGCTTCTTCAGCTCTGACTGGATGGTGGGGAACGGAAGGATTCTAGTCAGAGATGAAGAAGCTTCCTGGATGAGAAGCGAAACGTCTTCAGAGGAAAAACAGAAAGTGCAGTTACTTTTTCGGGAAAAAAAGCACTTTTGGGACAACCATGACCTGAATATGACTGAGAATCTCGATAAACAGTTACAATCTCCTGGTTTCTAGCCTGGTGCCTTAACCACTCGACCAAAGTGGCTCTCTCTGATTTTGAAATAAATTTACACACACACACACACACACACACACACACACACACTTACTTTCATGGACGCAGGAAATGAAGAAGCACGTTCAATTCCTCTTCCATGCTCCCAATCCTTCCTCTTGGGTTTTATCAATCAGAAATGGCTATAGAGTGGGGATATCAAGGCCCATGGGCTGCGTCTGGCCTGCGATGGGGTCAGATCCACCCTGCAGGGCCATCCTGGAAAATGTAAGGGGCTGGTGCTGGCCCATGTCACTTCGGCCTGGTCTACCCAATGCAAAGAGGAAACATGCCAGCAGTTTGGGGGGAGTGACATCAAGCTGGCCACACCCACCCAGTTGGTCACACCCAATGAGTGGCGTCAAACTGGTCACACCCACCCAGTTGGCTGCACCCCCCTCCCCGGCCCCCTCGAGGTCAACCACAGCCCACAATGAAATTGAGTTTGACACCCTTGGTTTTTAGTCTGGATGGGTGGGGGTTGGACTAGATGACCTGCAAGGTCCCTTCCAACTCTGTTATTCTGTTCTGTTCCAGTCATTTGACCTGCTTCGGTGTCGTGCTCCTCCTGCCTCTCCCATTGACTCAACTCTAACCAGAACTCTTCCCTTCCTTTCAGTGAAGACCCTTGGCGAGCCGCAAAGATGATCAAGGGTTACATGCAACAACACAACATCCCACAAAGGGAGGTGGTGGATGTCACAGGACTGAATCAGTCGCACCTTTCTCAACACCTCAACAAGGGAACCCCGATGAAAACGCAGAAACGGGCAGCGCTCTATACGTGGTATGTCCGGAAACAGAGAGAGATCCTCCGGCGTAAGTAACACTATGGTTTGAGAGGTTGGGATGCGTGTTTTAACACAGGGGTGTCAAACTCGATTTCAATTGAGGGCCGCATCAGAGTTGTTTGATCTTGGGGGGAGGTCGGGGGTGTGTGGCCAGGGGGACATGGTCAGCTCATCATCGACTCGTGTCGGGGGCGCCTGTGGTGGCCCAAGTGCTCTGCCAGAGAAAACGGGCTTCCAAGCTCCATTTTCGGCTGCGATGTCCTCCTGCAATCCTCTGCCAGTGAAAATGGAGCATGGGAAGACCATGCGCGGCCTTTGTGAACTCCGTTTCCAGCTACGATGGCCTCCTGCAACCCTCCTGCAGCCCTCCCGAGCTCCGTTTTCGCTGGCCGAGGCACCACGGGTCGGCCCTTCGCTGTTTCCAGGGCAGCCTCATGGGCCAGATCTAAGCATCCTGTGGGCTGGATTTGGCCCCTGGACCTTGAGTTTGACACCCCTATTGTAACAGGTAGCCTTTGAGTTACGACCATAATTGAGCCCAATGTTACTTAGTTAATTGCCCCATTTTATGACTTTTCTTGCCACTGTCAGGAAGTGACTCCCTACCGTTGATAAGTTAGGTTGTTCAGAGTTTTGCAGGGATAATTCAGTGCCAGAAAAATAAACACAGATGGCTGATGCTTCATTTAACATCTTTATAAACATAATAAGTAGATTTTACAAATCAGTTGTAGATTTCTCCAACATGGAGCAAACTCAGACAGAAATAAACAAGTTGCAAGTGCAGAGCTTCACCAGTAACTTCAGCAGCTCAGAAACAGACATCGGTTTCACTTTAGTTCTTCAGGCAAGCAGAGGAGAAGCAGTTTCATTTCAATAGACAGACTCAGAGCTCACCATAGCTGCAGAGTTGCAGAGCTTAATACAGAGCCACGCCTAGGCTACTTTTCGTTTCAGTTTCCAGCCTAGGCTACATCTAGTTTCAGTTTCCAAACTGTCCTCATTGGCTGATTTAGTTGCTTTGCCTATTCATTGGCTGACCTTGTTACTATGCTCTATTGCAGTTCATGAATATACTCTGACAGGGTTGTTAAGCGAATCGGGCTCCCCCATAGTTTTTGCTTGTCAAAGGGTCGCCAAAGGGGATCACAGGATCCAAGTAGATCCTAGGACACAGCAAGATCACAGCAATTGCACTTAGACCCATGATGGCGAACCTATGTCATGCGTGCCACAGGTGCCATTTGTGCTGGCACGCAAGCTGCAGGCAAACTTATCTCACTGCAATTGTGCGTGCCTCACAGCTGCTTTTCAGCCTGTTTGAGGCCTTTTTTGGCCTCCCAGAGGCTTGAGGAAGGTCTCCGCAGGCTTTGCAGGCCGAAAAATAGGCCCGTTTTGTCACTTCCTGTATTTCCCGAAATACAGGAAATGACTAAATGGGCACATTTTTCGGCCTGTAAAGCCTGCAGAGGCCTTGCTCAAGCCTCTGGGAGGCCGAAAAAGGCCTCAAACGGGCCCGAAAATCAGCTGTGAGGTGCAGTGCAGGTAAGGGGGAGGATTGCACGCACATGTGCAGGGGCGTGAGGGGGCCGTACGCATTGCCTTTTGGGTGCTGGCACGTGAACGTACAAGTGTGAGCGCACACACAATTTTTGAAACAGGAGGCCAGAAAGGTTAGCCACCACTGACTTGGACTTATCTACCACTTCACAGTGCTTTACAGCCCTCTCTAAATGGTTTACAGAATCAGCATATTGCCCCCCAATAATTTGGGTCCTCATTTTACCCACCTCGGAAGGATACAAGGCTGAGTCATAAATATGAACCAGTTGCTAAACCTCTGAATTTTGATCACGTGAGCATGCTGCTGAAAAACGGTCATCAGTCCCATTTTTCAGGGACATTGTAATTTGGAACCGTCACTCAATGAACTGCTGTAAGTTGAGGACTACATGTGGGCACAGATCCCTTGTCAATTTCTTCCAATGGATGCCCTTCAAACATGAAGATGGAATACTTCTCAGTGAAAGGAAACCCCAAAGTTGCTTTTATATAGAGTCCTCGACTTACGAAACACCAAATTTCTGTGTCTAAGCAAGACAGTTGCTAAAGGAGCTTTGCCTCATTATATGACTTATCTCACCACGGTTGTTAAGTGGATCACTGCAGTTGTTAAGTGAATAACACAGTTTTTAGGTGAATCTGGCTTCCCCATGGACTTTGCTTGCCAGAAGGTTGCAAAAGGGAACCCCGGGACGTCGTCATAAATATGAACCAGTTGTCAAGCAGCTGGATGTAAATCGCGTGACCCTGGGGCTGCTGCCACAGTCATAAGTGTGAAAAAATAGTCATAGGTGAGGTTTTTCAGCGCCGTTGTAACTTGCAACGGTCACTAAGCGAACCATTGTAAGTTGAGGCCTACCTGTACATCCAACGGACTCAATTCTTGCAACTTAGAAATCGCTTTGGAAGGTGTCGTTTTTCTCTCCATCCTTCTTCTGGTTTCTTTTCTTACCTTGAAGAAGAGTAGAAAGAAGGAGATTTCCTTCTTCTTAGAAATTTGTCTCCCAATGACGGATAAACTTGAATGGGCCATTGTGTCAAACGCAGCCGGCTCTCCTTGAGGGGAACAATGCGGTTAGGACAAAGTGATCCAGTGAGCTGGCCCCAGTCTTGCACATCCAAAGATAAACTTGTTGACTCTTTTTTTTTTTATGGTGTGGGATTTAAGCGGAGTGTGAGATACCACAAGGTGTTGCCTACTCTAATTATCGCTGCTTTGATGGATGAGTTTGAGGCAGGGCTGCACGTATCAGATCTCTGCCTCTCAGTCCACTGCTTCTTGGTTGTTATCAGCAGCAGAAAAAGGAGAATTTAGAAATGTCAGCTTTCCCCACTAGGGCAATTTTCTTTTTCCCAGAGAAGCTTTTCTGTTCAGTCTCTGGGGTATTCTTAGGTCAGCTGGGGAAGGGAAGGGAAGGGAAGGCAGAGGGAGGGAGGGAAGGAAGGAAGGAAGGAAGGAAGGAAGGAAGGAAGGAAGGAAGGAAGGAAGGAAGGAAGGAAAAAGTACAAGGCCGAAAGGATGAGAGGGAAGTGAGGGGATGGGAATGGAAGGAAAGAAGGAAGGAAGGAAGGAAGGAAGGAAGGAAGGAAGGAAGGAAGGAAGGGGAAGAGAAAGGTCAAAAAAGTCAAGGTGGGAGCCACAACAGTACAATCAAAGCTGCACCACTTTCTTTTATGGCCATTGGGCTTTGAGATCACCATAACTCAGCAGTGGCGAAATATTGCAAATAGAGATGAATGTCCAGTTTGAAACTTCTTTGTAGACTTATCCATCCATATATATCCTTTCCTAGTTATTCCTACTCTGCCTGGGAACCAATCATAATAAATACATTAATTAAGTGTATTTACTGCCCAGCTCCTTGTGACTTTGGGCAATTATGGAATGGCAGCGGAGCTTCCATTTACCGCCAAGGGATTTATTTCCCTTGGTCCCTTCAGGAAATATTCACTGCAGCCCTGAGACAGATAATTAACTCTCCTCAAACCGTAATTCTGAAGGATTACTGATTAACAGCAATCCTTTTAAAATAAGAGTGTTATTTTAAAATACAGGTAATTCTTGACTTACAACGGTTCATTTAGTGGCTGTTCGAAGTTGCAGTGGCACTGGAAAAGATGACTTATGACCGTTTTTTACACTTACGACTGTTGCAGCATCCGCGTGGTCAGGTGATCAAAATTCAGGTTATGCCCATTGTTAAGCCTGTCGCCACAGGACTGTCTTTTGAGTCTATGATCTTTTTTGTTGTGGTTGTTAAGTGAAACACTGAGGTTGTTAAGCAAACATAAGTGAATCAATGGATGGGGTTTCTTTTTTTACCAGAAACTTGAATTACAGGTAGTCCTCCACTTACAACCACAATGGAGCCCGAAGGTTCTGTTGTTAAGTGAGACATTTGTTAAGCGAGTTTTGCCCTGTTTTACAACCTTTCTTGCCACAGTTGTTAAGTGAATCACTGCAGTTGATAAGTTAGTAGCCCAGTTGTTAAGTGAATCTTGCTGCCCCCTTGGCTTTGCTTGCCAGAAGGTGGTGACCCCTGGGACACTGCAACCGTCATAAATATGAAGCGGCATCTGAATTTTGAACATGTGACTATGGGGATAATGCAAGAGTCATAACTTTGAAAAACAATCATAAGTCACTTTTTTCAAGGCTGTTGTCACTCAATGAATTGCTGTAAGTCGAGGACTACCTATAAATGCTGATTTCTGGACAAAAGCATCCAAGAAATGGTATAGGGTCTCCTACTTGGGAAGGGGGTTGGACTAGATGACCTACAAGGTCCCTTGTAACTCTGATGATCTGTTATCTGTTAAATCACAGTCACATGACTGAGACTTTGCAAACAACAATAAATGCAGTCCGGTTGATGAGTGCCCCAAATGTGATCACATGATTGTGTCTGTGTGTCCGTGTGTTTCCGTGTCTGGGTGCGTCCATTAAACTGTCAAATCTGGATCATAAATAGCTCTGGGCAGATACTACTGGAACTTCAAATAACCACTAAGCCAGGGTGGAACCATGGCTCTTTTATGAGGTGTGGACTTCAACTCCCAGAATTCTCAAGCTAGCATGGAATTCTGGGAGTTGAAGTTCACACATGGAATTCTGGGAATTGAAGTCCACACCTCATAAAAGGGCCAAGGTTCCCCACTCCTGCACTAAGCAAGTGATTGTAAGGCAAGTCATTTTCTTAGATCCCTCTGATATTTTTCTCCCTCATTTGAAGTTATGGTGTGTGTGTGTGTGCTGTAGGCTTCCTAAGGCAGGATTAGAACTCACAGACTCCTAGTTTCTAGCCTGGTGCTTTAACCACTAGGCCAAAATGGTTCTAAGTTATGACTAGATACAGTCATATGTGGGTTTCTCACTCCCTATAAAGGACCTTACTCTTTTATCAAATCTGATGTTCTCCAATGCCTGATAAAGCCTCTTTATTATTCATTCAGCTGAAGTTTATGAATCTGTGTTATTTGGCTTGCTTTATTATGGATTTTCCTTTCTCTCTAATGTTGAAGAATATTGCAGATTCTTTGATTACTGTTTTGTTTTCTAATATGCCGTTCTAAGAGTTTTTAACTGTAAAGCACCATCCTCTACTTGCAACCATTCATTTAGTGACTGCTCAAAGTTATAACACCACTGAGAAAAAACAACAACTTACAACTGGTTCTTCTCACATACTTGCAACTGTCGCAGCATCCCCATGGCCATGTGATCAGAATTGGGCTGTTTGGAAACTGGCATGTACTTATGACAGTTGCACTGTTCTGGGGTCACGTGATCACCATTTGCAACCTTCCTGGCCAAATTCTAACAATCAAAATCAATGGGGGGGGGATGATTCACTTAATGACCATATGAATTCAGATTCCCCCATTAAACTTCGCTTGTTGGGAGCCAGCAGGGAAGGTCACAAATGGTGATCACATGACCCCAGCATGCTACAACTGACATAAATCCATGCCAGTTGCCAAGCACAGAAATTTTGATTATGTGACTCTAGGGATGCTACAGTGGTCGTAACTATGAGGGTTGGTCATAAGTCACTTTTTCCAGTGCCATTGCCACTGTTTGGTCTAGTGAGAGCTAATTTGGTCTAATGCAGGAGTGTCAAACTCGATTCCATGGAGGACCGCATCAGGGTTGTATTTGACCTGGGGGGTCATGGTCAAAGTGGGCATGGCCAACTTGACACCACTCATTTAAAAAAAAAAACTTTATTAAAGATTAAAAAATAAAATCACTATGTTCAATACATCGAATACAACTTTTGACATCACTCATGTCGGAGCCACCTGTGGCAGCCCGAGCGCTCTGCCAACAAAACCGGGCTCCCGAACACTGTTTATGGCCATGATAGCCTCCTGCAGCCCTCTGCCAGTGAAAATGGAGCTTGGGGGGGGCGCCCGTGGCCTTCCTGGGCTCTGTTTTCAGCCGCGTGGAGCCCTCCCAAGCTCCGTTTTCACTGGCAGAAGCACTACAGGCTGGTCATTGTTTCCAGGGTGGCCCCGTGCGCCAGATCTAAGCACCCCACAGGCTAGATCCGACCCACAGGCCTTGAGTTTGACATCCCTGGCCTAGTGGTTAAGGCACCAAGCTAGAAAGCAGGAGACTGTGAATTCAAGTCCCGCCCAGTGGTGGTATTCGACCGGTTCTGCCCGGTTCTGGAGAGCCAGAGTGATGAGCAGTGGAGACCGAGCCGGTTCTCTTCACTGATCTGTGGTTGGTCCGCCCGCCCGGGCTCCCATACTCACTTTTATGGCCAGAATTCAAAGCGCAGCTGCTTTGCGCAGCGCAGAATAGCACCGCGCGGCAGCTGCTGCATTGACCACCATCGTGGAGGCTTGTAGGAGGCAAGTTAGAACGCCTCTGCGCCTGTGCAAAGTGCGTGTTTGGCACGCGCATGTACACAAAGTGTGTGCATGAGCGCAAAGCGCAGCCACCAAGCCACGCCCACCAAACCGGTGGCAACTTTTATTTGAATACCACCACTGGTCCTGCCATAGCCATGAAAGCCAGCTGGATGACTTTGGACCAATCGCCAGGAGATTGAGAGTTCTATTCCCGCCTTAGGCATGAAGCAAGCTGGTGATTTTGGGCCAATCACAGGAGACAGTGAGTTCTAGCCCCACCTTAGGCTTGTAAGCGGGCTGGTTGACTTTGGGCCAGTCACTCTTTCTCAGCCCAACGCACCTGACAAGGTTGTTGTTGTTGTGAGGAAAATAGGAGGAGGAAAGTGTGTTGGATATATTTGCTGCCTTGAGTAATTTGTAAAAAAAAAAACCATACAGGTGGGAAATTAATAAACATTTCAATGGCCACTAAACAAATGGTTGCAAATCGAGGACTCCCTGTATTGACTTTTTTTTTGAGCCTCCGGTGAATACTTCTGCTTGCTTCCTGGTTGACATTTGTTTGGCACCGAGTCTCTCATCACTGCCAAAAAAATCTCAACAACCGCCAGATGAAAAACCAAAGAGATATAGAAACCTCTCTTGGCTCCCATTTCATGCCGGTCCAGATTTTTTTCTCACCCCAATTAAAAACGGAGTGTGAAAAAAACAGCCTAGAGCCGCGATCCCCAACCTTTGCGCCTTAGCGGCCTGGTTGGGGCGGTTGAGGGGAACTAGGCCTCATGAGTGGTAGGCCGCCATGCATACCCATCGAGTTGCACAAGTCAAGCCGCACATGTGTACACATGCATGCCAGTCCACTGCTCGTGTAAATCGAACCGAACGCATGCACACCGGCCTGTTACTTGCGCAGCCTGGTTCCAAATAGGCCGTGGGGCCACGGCCCGGCAGTAAGCCATAGCTCAGGCATTGGGGACCTCTGGCCTAGCAGATGGTTGAACCAGCCATGCAGGCCAAGAAACCTGGTTCTTGCGCCCTGAGCCATTCCTTAAAGTCAACTGAATCTCTTCCTACAGGTGTGTGTTACACAACCCGACCGGCAGGCCCAGTCAAAAAAATCTACTCCTTTCTCTTTCAGAATTCAACCAAACAGTCCAGGGTTCTGGAAATATGACAGAAAAAGGCAGTCAAGATCAGCTGCTGTTTCTCTTTCCAGAATTTAACCAGCAAAACCAGGGTGTGGGCCAGATAGACGACTCTTGTGCCGAAACACCCAGCAAGAAGATGAGGCGCAACCGCTTTAAGTGGGGTCCTGCTTCCCAGCAGATCTTGTACCAGGCCTACGACCGGCAAAAGAACCCCAGCAAGGAAGAGAGGGAAGCCTTGGTAGAGGAATGCAACAGGTAAAAGCTCTGGACAAAAGAGCATTTTTCCCTTTCTGCTGCTGCTGCATCAAAGAAACCCACAGCTTGTTGGCAGAGAGCAGAGCTTTTGTTGTTTCCAACCAAAATCCCTATTGTGTGAGGGGGCTAGCATGTTCTGGGTCAAAGGGAAAAAGAACCTGCTATCCTCAACATCTAACTAAGCAAACAAATATGTCTTTCTCTCCTCCTCTCTCTCTTCTCTCCCTCCCTCCTCTTTCTCTCTCTCTCCTTTCTCTCTTCTCTCTCCTCCTCTCTCTCTTCTCTCTCTCCCTCCTCTTTCTCTCTCTTCTCTCTCTCTCCTTTCTCTCTCCTCTCTCCTCCTCTCTCTCTTCTCTCTCTC